CATGCATGGTAGAAAATGAAAGGGGTCCAGTGTTCGTGGGTTGCCTTCGGAATTAGGAGACATGGCTTGTCGAACTTTGGCTACTGATTTGAGAGCTTACAGATTTCCAGCTCTCCAATGCACCGAAGACCATTTCTCTCAAGAATTTAGGAAAGGGCGATCACTCCCCAACGCTTTGGGTTTCCGGGACATGATTACTCAGGTTTTCCCCGGTCCACATGCACATGTGATTTTATCTCTCTCTCAATTTAGACAGAGAGTACAGGAATGAGCCAAACAGAGCACTGACCTCGTTAAAAAGCAGTTCGCGTCTTTGCTGCTTTCGGAGGTCCATTTTCTTCACAGCCACTTGCTTCCCTGTGTGTTTCTCTGTGGCGATGCACACAATGCCCGTCGACCCTTCCCCAATTTTGATAAAGTTGTCCAAGTATTCCCTGGGGTCTCCTGGGCTCACCACTAGCTGCAAGGCAGCCCGGAACTGTTCGTGGGACACCCGGGAGGGCTGCTGGTCTGAAGAAGAGCTCCAGCGGGGTGGGGGGTAGGTGCTGGATGAGAGACTTAGAGAGCTCAGGTAAGAAGCGGTGGAGATGTACTGCGAACTGGCCTGCAGCGAAGGCTGGTGGTACAGAGTGGCTTGGTGGTACCCAGACGGGGACTGGTGGCTGCTTGGAGAGTAGCCCATTTTGCTTTGACTTTGAGGTAGTTTGGCGGGGCCCCTGGGATAGGTGTCAGACCCGGACAGCGGAGGGCTGAAGACCAGCTGCGCTCGGTCGTAATCCACCTGTGAAGACAGACAGGCTGGATGTGAATGTGAAGCACCTCATTGGCAGTGAGTCAACCCACAGCTGAGCTGAGTGTCCCTGACCCTGGGAGATCTTACCTGGTGAGGGCCCCGAACCCCCTCTGCTATTCCTATTTCCTGGCCCTTCTCACCTCCCCATCCAGCCTCCGCCTGCTTTCTCCCCCTTTCCCTCTTCAGTCTCCAGGAGCAGAGTGGGACCTGAGTTCGGGTGCAAGTCACGGAGGTTGTTGAGCACGATAGTTTTCATTTATTCACAAAGAGTCCCTAACACTCTCGGAAAAAGCAAAAAAACAAACCAACACACACCACGCAACCTAATTACCTTAGTTGGTCCAAGGACCCGTTTCTCAACCATTTAATGACTTTTATTCTGTTGCTGTTTGTACTTCAAGAGAATTATAAGGTCTAGAATTCTTAAATGTCTGTTTTGTTTTGTTGTTTTTAGAAAACGACTTTAATGTATTATTTGCCTGTCTTCTGCTGCTGAGGGTCAGCCTCTGTGTTAAAGGTCCATTGCTATCACCTGCACATGCAATTAAGTGCCTTTCCAGGAGAAGTCGGTATTCCACTCATTCAGCGCACAAATACTTCTCGCATCCCTAGCGCGTGAGGCCGGGGAGCGGTTGGATTTTAGACTGAAGCCGCTTGCAGGGTTTCTCGGGTGGAGGGCCACAGGAGCAAAGACCTCAGGGTCCCGAGGGAGGAGCCTTGGGAGCACTGGGAGGAAGGGCGCGGCAGGAAGAAGGACCAGCAGCGAGAGGTCTTGAGCAGAGCGTGTGCTTGTGAGGCTGAAGAGCTCGTGGCCTGAGCAGAGCGGGGCGAGCCACGACCCATCTAGAAAGACGTAATGTCCCAGAGGTCCAAAAGAACCCGATCCTGCAGAGATCTCTTTCGCCAACTAGACTTGAGCGTTTTGAGCAGCAGAGTTGCCTGCCTGGCGTCTGCTTTAAAGGACTGCTCATCTGCTGTTTGAGAAGGACTCCAGGCCGGCAAGCGAGAAGCACAGACGCCGGTTAGGAGGCTCCTAGCACAGAACCAGCTGAGCGAAGATGGTGGCTTGGTCAGTGATGGCAACAGCTGACATCAGCAAACACGATCCGATGATCTGATTCAATGGCTAGTTTTGCACTAGAGCTGGAAGGCTGGGCTGACAGATTGTGCTGCAGAGTTTCACTAAATGTAA